ATCCACTGGGGTCCTTGTATGGTCAGAGATACGAGGACAGTGTGTGGCGAGAAATTGAGTGGTGTGGAAGACAGGGTGTTGAAAGAGCGTGGGGAAGGAGGTTGAGGAGGGGTGAGAGAAGACCTCAGAGATGTAAGGGGGGGGGGAACTGAGCTAAGGGAAGCGTGTGTTGAAGAGGGTGAACTGAGAAGTGGGAGAGGAGAGCAGTGGCGGACCTACATTTTTGGAGCCCCGAAGCTTAAGTATTATGGGGGCCCCTTCGCAACCAGCAACGGTCAGCCTACATACTTTAATAACCTTTTAATTTCATTTTAACTTATTTTGTATTGAATTACACTATTAATATTTTTTAAAAGATCCTTCTCATACAGTAGAACCAAAATTTTTAAGCAATGTGAACTAAAGTCGCTTCTGGGGCCCCTCCGGGATCAGGGACCCTGAAGCTTAAGCTTCATTAGTTTCATAGTAGATCCGTCCCTGGAGGAGAGCAGGTTGTTCCGTGGACAACCATCACTGGATAGATGATACACGAAGACACAGTGAAAAAAGACAACATTTTGATCTCCATCTGAGATCTTCAGACGGAGATCGAAATACTCTCTCTTCTCCCTGTGTGTTTCCTGAATTCATCTATAAGTGTTAACTATAATTTCACGTTTCACCATGGACTGTTTTTTTTTTTCAGTTTAAGCGATAAAAATATATCCCTTTGGCAGAAGTAGCGTTTCCGTTCATGTAATCTTTTTATTTACAATTAGCTGCACGTAAATATAGGTTAACTGCTATTATAACTAACCTGCAATAACTAATTTAATTTTAATATTGGCACTAACAGAAAACGAATTTGCTAAATAGAGGACCACAATGGAATTGTTATTGTATTCGACTGCATTGCGCTATCCTAAGTTAAAGCTCCATAAGGTATATGTGTTAGCTCATAATACCTGTATTCTCTCAAGCCCGTTATCAAAATTAAATTTGTGTATAAAACCCAAATAAAAAGCAACCGAGGGCAGGTTGAATGAAGAGGTAGGTAGGTTTAAGGAAGAGGAAGAGGGAAGGAGAGGAGAGGTGACGAGTGTAGCGTGAGGGGGAGACGACAGGAGGGTGATAATCGTCTAAGATGGATGGTCTGGGAGTAACATGTGGTCATATTTTTTCCCAGAAGCGGCACAGACAGCTTTGTGAAGGAAAACTTATAAAGCCTTTGATTGTCATGAAACTTAACTGTCCGGCTGCAGTGTTTGTCGCCGATGTAATTAACAGCTGAAGGTTGGTGAACCAGTCCTGTGTACTCCTTTGGTATCGGCTTCTCGTGAAAGTTGACGACGCGTGACTAATAGGCCGTAATTACAATCCAACTAGCGTCAGTGGCGTTATCATAGGAGGACCTTCCTTGGTTAAATCTACTTAATAGTTATATGTAACGATGTATATTAAGTGTTCATTGCAACCATTGTGTAATTTACAGACACTAATCTGTAATTTAGACTATTTTCAACAAAGGAGTGTGGAACAGTGACAAAATATCACACTCGTCACTGACAAAAAAAAAAAACAACTCTTAAAACCCACCTAATGTGGTCAGACCACTTAACCTTCTTGCCTCTCTCTTCCTGTTTACCCAGAACCTCTTCTACTGCTCTATCCTGTCCCCAGTCTTTCCCCCTTCCCATTCTTCCCATCGATTTTATAACCAAAGGAAAATGTAAAGAACCTAAATTAAGCTTATATTAATTTAGTGTTTACTTAGGCCTTCGGCATGAATTAGCTGGTATTGAGCGTGTGAATGATCAACAGGATATACTGTAGCGTTGTGAAGAATAGACTGAAGCAGCAGGTGATGGTTGGTCAGTCAGGGAAAACTGGGTCCTGACACAGGGTGTTAGTCAGGTTCTATATCCTTAATATGCATGACAGACGGACGGATTTAGAAATACGCACCGAAGCTATTTGCTAATGAGAACTATCTGCTTATATCTAGATTGAGGACTAATATTATCTATGTGTAATAATTAAATAGAAAATGCAGAAAAGTTTGAAGCAACACTAGTCTCTTCGTGTTAACTTTCCACCATCAAAACAAAGAATCATATTGTAAATTCGAGAGCAGAGCCGCGCTGGACACATGTTGCAGGTTGCCACTGGCACGCACCACAAATTGCATTGCTGGGGTTGCAGCTCGTTGAAAGACGTTCCTCTCTGTTGGGTGACTCAGCTCTTCACCCCTTACCCTAACCCTGGGGTGCTGGGGGTCGAGGGGTCTCAACGAGGGGACGTGCTACCTCATAAAGAAGTTCTCACAACGTTTGAGGGGGAAAATGGTGCCCGTGTCAAGAGTGTTGGGGTGTTATTACTCCCTGGTGCGAGGATTTGATGTTTCTCGATGGGGAACTAATTGAAAGCCACGTGGTGGGGAAAGGAGTGTTGGTGAGGGGGGTGTTGGCGAGGGAGCATCTTGGGAGGGGTTTCGTTTCGGTGAGGGGCAGCGGGAAGGGGTGTACTAAGAGGGGCAGCGGGAGGAAGGGGGGGGAGGTGTTAGCGATAGAAGCAGTGCTGGAGTCGGGAGGGAGGGCGGGAGGAAGGGGTAAAGGATATGTAGTATCCACTTGTAGAGCTGCGCAACTTTCCTTTTGGTATTGAGTTTTTGGTGGGAGAGAACAACAGCGTTACTCCACTTACACCAGGACGGAGTTATCCAACCATTGAGACCATTGGTCTCAGACTAGGTTTCCTTAGGTTGACGGCCTGACCAGTCAAGCTGTACGGACCACAACTTGGATGCATAAAATCAGTTTGTAGAAATTAAGCTGCTTTTGTAAATAAGCCTGTTGATAACTCCCCTTAATGTGATATGGAATCCATAAGTAATGCACAACTAATAAGTTTCTCTTATTCTGTTTTTTTTCTCTTGTAAAAGATATGCAATTGTTAGACGAACATTCAGATGTAATTTCACTTTTGAATGCTCGTCTGGAAAAGATGGAAGAGTCTTGTTGGTTTTGTTGCAGAGTTAATCGAAACTTTATCAGATATAGTGTGGCCTTCTTGTGGAGTAACGTAGGCAACTATTCGATGCAGAGCCAAGAGCATCCTTTATGCAATACCTGCATTTACGTATCTTACACCTGTAACCCTTTTGGGGCCTAGTTCCTAGGCCTTTTGTGTATGCATGTGCTCTTGCGCTACTGTCCACAGGATGGATATGGGGTGCATATTAAACTAGCCACTTCGGTGGCAAAATCCAAAAATCTAATCGTATCCGTTGTCGAAACGGTACTTAGCAGGCGGTTTCAGTCGAATAATGGCAGCTATAATGCAAGAGCCTGGCCCATGGCCGGGCTCAGAGAGTAGATAAACTCTCGAAACTTTTCAGAGGTAGGTGATCAGTCCCTCAGTCTTGACCTACAACAGCAGGCTAACACAGTTATCCACTTTTACTGTTAGTTGGGCAGGGGTGTCAGTAAACTTGCCAAGATGCTGCTCTGTGACGGGGGATCAAACTCAAGACCTTGCGATTATGAATGAACTACACGACTTTCCCGTAATGAAATATCAAACGGGGATGGGGGATATGGAACGTAATGCAGAGGGAGAGGGAGGACGGAATAGGGGTTTTAAAGCCACCTCTTCATTACTAAAGAGGGAGGGGGGGAGGGAGCCATTGTCCACCTTATTGTTCTCTCACATTGACGGGGCACGGGAGGTGTAGGGTTGTTCACTTTTCTGTTGACAGGGCAGAGGGAAGGGGAGAGGGGCTGGAGGTGTCACATCCCGGGCGAAGGAAGGGGGAGTGGCACATTGGAGGAAATGTTTATCACTGAAAAGACAATGATCAGATGGAGTTCCCTTTCTTCCTTAACCCCTATCCATCCTCCATTACCCCCTCCCTATTTCCCCTCTAGTGTAGCGCCATCACAAATGATGACTAACCTTCCCCACACCTCGTATTACCCCCCTTCCTTCGTCCCGTTAACCCCAGGGAAGCTTGCCTCCATCACAGTAAAAGACGAAATCTTTGCAGTTTACATTTTGCGTAACATTTTATGACTGACTTAGATCTGCTTTTCACCGTCGTCCATTGTTGTGATGACCGGTTCAGAAGCCTCCCGCCCCCTCTCCACAGCTGATTACTAGTTAGGTGTTATCAGTGTTCTTGTCACTATTAGCGTTACTTGTTAAAACCTCTGTATTGAAGCTGTTTGCCTCTCTTGTTATTGCTTCAGGTGTTACTATTTGCCTCTTGTTATTGCTTCAGGTGTTACTGTTTGGCTCAGTCAGTGTTTATTATATCAGCGCATGTATAAACGTGATTCCGTGTATATTGTAGACTTGGCACTTGTTCAGAAGTTTTGCTGGGTATTGAGCAATCGGTCGGTATTTCCTTGTTAAAGTTTATTTCCAAGCTTTTGAAGTGTGGCTGTGTCTTGGGGTTGTATTGGTGGAAACGTAAGTCACCTGAATCACTACTGTCTCGAAATGACATCTGAAACCTCTTTCAGCAGTTATAACGGTACGATATACATTCATCTCAGAACGCATTATCACTGTTGACTTGTTTTCAAATAGACGGCATTCATTTTTTCAGTGACTTAAAAGGGCAGTAAGTTTAATTAAAGATATTGATACATAAAAAAAAAACTTGTTCAATAAGAGAAGGCAAGATCACGTATTTGAAAAGTACAACAAATTAGCACCATGGGAGTTGAACAATGGAAAGGGAAACCTTTAAGGTAATTTTTAATGTTACTTGAGATAAGTTTGCTTAGAATAAAGTCTGTTTAATCATTATATATATATATATATATATATATATATATATATATATATATATATATATATATATATATATAATATATATATATATATATATATAAATATATATATAATATGATTAAAGACATTTTATATTGATAGTTTGTGACAGTGCAAGAAATATATATTTTTTATCGATTTGCAGAATCAGCAAGAAATTAATAATTTTTTTTGTTTATTTCCAGAACGAGTGGGACATCGAACTTGGCAAGATCCTCTCTAAGAGGGCCGGCCAGCCAGCCAGCCCACAACTCCTCCAACACAGGTAACCACGTGCACACCTCGCCCTACCATGCCCCGGCTCCAGCACCCAAACATAAGGACTCCATGCTCGACAAGTTCAAGCTTTTCAACCACAAAGAAAAAGATGCCAAGAACAAAACTACCAGTAAGAGTGAGAAGGATATTTTTTTCTATTGTTGTCGTTGTGTAATGTTGTCTGATAGCTTCGTGTGTCTGTTACTCAGAGCGTTTTTCTAGTTTAGTAAAATGCTATTTTTAACTAGTATAGATCCGTACTATTTTTTTTATGAAGGTAGCGTTATTTTTTGATGCATTTTATAGTTTTTATACTAAAGGGAAAAATTGCTTTATCCCGATAACCCAGAAATCGTTTTGTAAAATAGTTTTTGACTAGTTTAGAGCCGTATTATTTTTTTAAGAATGTATTGTTACTTTTAAAAGTGGATGTTATTTTTACACTAAACGAGAAATTTAGCGTTCCGATACAGAAATCAGAATATAGTTGATAAATCACAGAACATTCTGGATTATGATTATATTTGTGGGTGAACATTAAAATGGTATAAAATAGGCGCCGAAACTCGTAAGGTGTCGTATAGGTAATCAGCTTTGATTCACGGAGGAAAGTAACTCCATTTCTTAAGATCGAGAGCCCTACACCAGCATCTAGGAACGTCTTCCCCTCCTTGAAGGTAGGATCATATGCATTTCCCGCCCCCTTATCAAAGAAAAATTCTTGTATGCCATTTATTTAGCAGCAAAACTAACATATTAACGTAACCTTCTCTTACTAAAATTTACGCAATTTAAAAAAAAAATCAGTTCCCTGGTGATCCGTTCCTAATCAGCTGGTTGTAGTCCCTGCGTTTGACCAAAGTAATGCTAGTACGAACAGCCTGATTAATCTGGCTTGGTCGAGGACCGGGCCACGGGGGCGAAAACCCCTGAAATTGACGTCGGGTGATCTAACCTATCGAAAAAGTTGCCTAACTACTGTTATTAACTGTTTTGCATCTGAGGGTCACTACCCCCCCGCTACCAGGTCTCCTGGTTGACAAGGCTAATTTTCAAGAGATCAAGAGATTGCCTTCATTACTTGGCTTGGAACATGGATATAAATACTATACTCCTTGAGATTACGCACGCAATAAGTTTTCCTTGACAGTTACCTTCAGTATTCAACACTCCACATTTTCGTTTCTCGACTCCATTCCACCTTGGAGTTCCTTTCTACTTAATAACCTGCTATTCCATATGCGCTGTATGACCCCTATGGGTTTAGTGGCTCCTTTTAATAATAATAATTAAAATCATTAATCTTAATTGCATACCACTATCAAGGTGAATATTAAAAGCGAAGTAGGCAGCTGTTATAATAATATATCCTGGATAATTTATAAATTGGGATAAAACAAACAAAAAACAAACGCGTTTTTTTTACTTTGATAAAACATTTATATATTTTTTGTTTACTTTTTGTGTGTATATAATATCTTCGTTTCTTTCATATACAGTATATCGTTTTATAATTTACTGAGTAACAATAGAAAAAGAATTGGGCTGTAAAAAAACGTGTATTGTGCGTGCCGTTATGTGGGTGGAGCAGACTACACTGTCACGCTGTAGTGCTCTGGTTAGAATGATGGCCTCCCGGGATCCCACCACCACCACCACTGCTGCTGCTGCTGCTAGTATGTTGTGGTGATGGTACTGTAGTGATTTGTGGTGGTGCGGGTGTATGTGCCGGTACGGTGAAGTTTTCCCTTTGGGAAGTCATTGCCATTTTGTCTTTGGGTAAGAGTCGTTGCTGTGTTGACGGTAGTAAAATACATTTTGTTGTTGTGGATGTGTTGAAGCAGTGGAAGCAGTACGAGGCAGTAGCTGGTCGTTGAGACCCGAGATACTTTCAACCGCTGAGCTGAACTTGTGTGATGCACGGGCACGCTGCAGATGCAACAAGTGCTTAATCTCGTCAAGGAAAATTTTTACAGACGTTACTTTTAGTGAAGGAGATTGAAAAATAAGGTCCGTGACTGGCAGTTCTTAAACACTTGAGTTATGCTATTTAGTTGTGTTGATAAAATGTAGTTGGATATTTATAAAGTCGCTGTGTGTGTTGCGTGTTGTGTGTGTGTGTGTGTGTGTGTGTGTGTGTGTGTGTGTGTGTGTGTGTGTGTGTGTGTATTGTAAGGGGAGTCCACTGGGCCATACCTGTGATCGGTTTCCAGAGTTATGCCCTCACAACCCGGCCTTATGCCTGGCTTCCCCTTTTGACTGCTTGGTCAACCAGACTCTCCCAATTTGCAACCCACAGTCATCATAGTCCGGCTGATCAAGCATTTGCAGGAGATACCGTAGTGGTTCACTGTGCTCTTGAAAACTTCTACCGTTGTTCCTGCAATATTAATGACAGACGCATCTTGCTACACACTTCTTTAATTTGCTGCCTCTACATTTTTCACTACGTTCATATTATACAACTGTATCCTCCACTGAGTTATGTCAGTGTATTGATTGGGGACCAGGTCCTCAAGTTGTGCTTCAGAGTTTTGTGCTTCAGCTCAAAACTCTGCCGTGTCCAGTTTATTTTTGAGTGTTGAGACTCGTCCAGTTGCTGGTTTCATTACTCCGTGCTTACCAGTGCAGAACAATACATCTGCTGGTTACATCATTCTGCAAGACTTGTGGTATGCATTTTAACTTTGCCTCAACAGTGACACAGGAATTTATTTCCGTAGTAAGTTACATTAGTATGGGTTCTTGTAGTGACCCTTGAAGGTTGGGTTGGGGAGGTAAGACTCAACTTGTCCCTCAGTCTTGCAGGTATTCACTTGAAACAGTTCAACACACTTCCTGTCTCCCTTATATCTTGGGGCATATGGTATCAAGTACTTTTCAGCAGTTAAGTAAACTAAATATACGCTATCTCTATAAAATCAATGGTTCCTAGACTTTTTTCTCTGGGCCGCACTTTCGGAATAAAAAAATTTCTCGTGCCACACCAAATTTTTATTGATAAGAAATACATTAAGAAAAACTATCAGTACTTGACTCATAACATAAACACAACTGCTTTATAATATAATCATGGGACATCCAGAAAGAATAAAGCAATGCATCTTCATAAAAAACATGATTCATTCCCAAAATATAGACGAACCTGTTATATATGTAACCTTAAGTAAGGATACAAACTCAATTATGTTAGTTGTGCGCTAATGCTAAAAAGAGAGATCACTTTATTTGCTTCTTTGAGGCTGGTCCTCAACACTGCACTTAACACAGACGGCATAACGTCTGGAAACGTCTACGGGTTTCTGTACACGAATATTTAAATGTTTCTTTGATTGTTCTTGATTTTTCCACTACACTTGCCATCCTCTCTCACCGCTCCCTTTGAAACCACTAATATATATAAACACCTATATACATACGTGTGTCTGTTTTCCATTCTGCTTTTTTCCTGTCATGCTTAGTTGCACCTCTGGGTTTGTAGTTCATAAATACTGTTCACTTGCTATTCTATCCATCACCTCACATAGTATGCTTCTTAAGGAAAATAATGTGAATGAAATTGACAACTTTTTATAAGTGTCGCGTTACGTAACCTGGTTAATAAGTGGATTGCTAAAGTACTTAGTATTTTAGTATCCAAATTAACATCGTATTGAGTTTCATAGCCTTTGAGCATATATTTGCCTAGCTGTGCTTATGGGTGTGCTTTACTAGTTAAGGATAATATGCTAGTTGTGAGCATTGTGACCAGTCAGCCGTATGTAACCCTGAACACTTAGTGATCATAGTCTTTGTGACAGGGTCTATGACCTATCCAAAATTGGAAAATAAGTAGTACTTGAATGAGAAACATTAAGGACGAAGAAAAGTAGTGGTAAGTGTGTACTGAATGTAATAAAAGTTTTTAAGACCTCCCTCAAGTGCGCATGAGATAAGTGAGTTCTAACGCCAGTGTTACTACTTAAAGCTTACGACGACGTTTCGGTCCGACTTGGACCATTGACAAAGGTTCGGGTTAGATGTACCAATTAAGAGGGTTTCCCCCTCATGATCCAGGTCTGGTGCACGTAGATCATGAGAGGGTCCAAACCACTCTTCCTGATTAATACCCCTTCCCATATGGGCCCTTCACCACTCTTCATGGGTTGCAAGACCCATATATATATATTTTTTTTATTATTATCACACTGGCCGATTCCCACCAAGACAGGGTGGCCCGAAAAAGAAAAACTTTCACCATCATTCACTCCATCACTGTCTTGCCAGAAGGGTGCTTTACACTACAGTTTTTAAACTGCAACATTAACACCCAACTCAGGGTTATATGTGGTAAAGACACATACAGCATAAGATCTATATTAGTACGAAGATTCACCTACATGAGGATTTTTATCACTTTGTTGGCTGCAAGGCCGTACTTCAACTCCTCAGGCTGACAGATTTCAACACCCTATGTGATGGAATAAGACAGGCTTTCATACCTATCTTTCGTTTTGACTGTATAACTCTCATAAAATACGGTAGCTGATGCATAAAATTAAGCTAAAAAGAAAAGTCATGCTGTGTAATTTAACTTGGCGTGATAGTATTTGTGTTGAATGATTATTTTTTTTTATTTGTTTTTTGTTTATAAATTTTTATGGTTACGAGCGCTGAATGATCTCCGTAGCACAAGTACTTTGTAACTGTCACAACTACTACTAACAAAGGCATTACTACTGGTGCGTGTCCCTCAGGCAGCAGCGGTGTGAGCAAGCGGACGAGCAGCAGCAGTGGGTTCAGCTCGGCCAGATCTGAGAGGTCGGACTCTTCTACCAGTGTGTGTTCTGACGCTAAACCACCGCCTCTTCCACCGCACCAGAGGTAAGTTTATCCTTGCTTGTATCTGCGTTTACTACCTGGCTGGCTAGCAATAAATGCGGATTGCGTGCTTCACAATTTTATTTGTTGTGTGTGTGAGGGGGGAGGGGTGTGTTAGATGTATGGGGGAAATGTGTGGAGGTAGGGGTGTAAGGGGGAATATGTGGGTGGAAGAGTAAGTTGGGTTATGTGTGGGTGGGAGAGTAAATGCGGGTTTTGTGTTAGTTGGAGAGTAAGATGGAGGCATTTGTGTGTAAAGACGCTTACAAAGTTTCATACATTTTTTTTATAAAGGTGGTGTCGAGCTACAGCTCCTGTCCTCAGCTGCTTCCTAACCTTTGTGGGTTCGCTCATAACTCGTTTTAAAGCCACATTGTTTATCCCTCCCAGATCTTATCGGTATTTCGCATTTTATTGCCCTTAACTTGAAGTAGTTATTTCCCAGCTTCCCTGTGTCCCCGTTGTTCTGGTCTCTGCTGTGCAGCTTGGGTGCGCGTACGCACCTTAAATAATTCATGTTACGCAGGAGACGAGTGCCAGCTCCTGGGTCCCACTTGTCAGCTTTCAGTATACTGAAGAACATAAAGGTACAATACCGTGACTGGAACAATACACAGATAAACCGCACATACACATAAGCTTATGACGACGTATCGGTCCGACTAGGATCATTGACTAGACACATCAACATACGAAGAAGAGGGAGCCTCCTCTTCTATCGATCTATATATATATATATAATATGGGGTCCACCTCCTGTGTAAATTGTGGGACCCATAGCCTCGGAGAAGTGGATAAAAAGGCTTCAAGTAAGAATATTTGGATTTCTTCCAAATATATACTGGCTCCCTGTTCGTATTTTTGTGTGGCTAATCAGTGGTCCAAGTCGGACTGATGGCCGGGCTCCGGGAGTAGAAAGACTCTCGAAACTCATCAGAGGTCTGTTGTCATAAGCTTCTTTCTCCTGTGTACGGGTTATTTGTGTATTGTATAGCGTTTCAGTATACTGGTGTGCTGCTCAACGTAGTTCATTCCACTTCTTGATTTATCTCACATTGCAGTCGCTGTTCTAGTTATTGGTATGCAGTTTTTCTCAAATCTCTTTGGGTGTTAGAGTCCACCTGTGTTCTTTCATTCTATTAGGGGTGAGAGAGAGAGAATCTTCAGACACGTGTACACAAGCCACAGGTGTGTTGTTGTGTATGTTATTGTTTGTTTGTGGAGGGAATTTTATACACGCACTAATATCTTAATTTTTATGCTTCTTATATTTACCCACTTTATATACATAATTATTCACAGCTTGTATATAGGCACAAACACAATAGCTTACCCTCTCCTGCCAACTTGTATGTGTCAGCGGCCTCGTGTTGCACCCATTACTGATGCGCGTGTGTGGGTGTGTGTTGCACTAACGCCCCTGTGTACGTACAGCTTGCCAGTGAGTACCAGCAGCAGCAGTAGTGACCAGACGAGCCACACTGAGGCCCAGACTGGGGGTAGTGGTGGTGCTCCGCCCACTGCCAAACCTCAGGGACTCCGCGGCATCAGGTACACTTGCACGCCCACTCCCTCATCTGTGTTGTGCTGGATGACAGAGTCCTCAACCCGTGGATGATATACCTGCATGCAGAATAGTGTTTGATTAGCGTGAGGATGTTTCATTTGTTTCCTTTAGAGCGTAATAAAATAAAGGTAGATGGTTAATGTGTGGTCTCCCTCCTCAGGTCTAAGTTTTCAAAATCCAGCGGAAAGGAGGGTAAGGAGTCGCCAAAGTCGTCGCGGAAGGACAAGGAGAGGGAAGAGTCGCGGGGGTCGCCGCGTGGAGGGCACAAGGTCCACCGCGACTCGCGGCCTGAGCGAGGAGAGAGTCGCGAGAGAGGCGGGAGGGAAGAGCGCGGGGGAAAGAAAGGTGAAAAGCTCACACTGGAACTGGATGGCGGGTCCCGCTCACGGTCTCAATACGCCCCGCCGCAGACGGACCAGTTCAAGGAGTCACGGGTGGCGGCACCGGGCCCCAGACCCGAGACCACAGGTCAGGTTGCTGACCCACAGCAACCTCCGGCACTCCCGCCTAAAGAGAATCTCCACAGGGACCACACAACGAACTCACAGGCAGACCAACTTTCCACAGCAATGCAGCAACACAATCAGCAGCTGCAGCAACAACAATCAGAGCATGGGTTAACTTCCACGCCAGGCAGTCCTCTACTTCCAGGCACTCCTGGCACAGGTATACCTAAACCCACGGCCCACGTTAAAGGACAAACAAAAGCGATGCCTCCAGAACGAACAATGGCGACGACTCCTACCAACTCTCCCAACGTCAACACTCCCCATCAAGCGAAGGACTACAATAAAATGGTTCGCCACACGTCGGGTGTTTCTACTCCTAAGGTAGCAAGTACAGGTAATGCCCCACGGCCGGCTGGCACTCCTGTAGGCACTGACAGTAACACTACACAAGAATGTAGGGATCCCAAGGGGTCACTTCCACGCCAGAAGCAATTGGGCAGACGGGAAGATAATGGGACGGGCATCAGTGTGGCGCTAGTGAGCCCCATGCCCATCCCTCGGGAAAAGGACCTGGTGACCCATTCAGAATCTGGCTCCAACATCAGTGAGTCCTCCCAGAGTAACAGCGGTCATAGCAACAGCAATTCGTCAGGGAACTCTTCTGTAATCTATAAACCGACCAGCTCTGAAGACGGCAGTGTTTGTGACTTCAAGGCTAATATACGAAAGGTGAGCATTTCTCCGTTACGATTATAGTGAAGTTATAGGTACCAAAACTCGTATATCAGCTTTTTCGCCAGACTGGGAGAAGACTTGCTTATATTTTGCTTAATCTTTGACAGGTGGAAGAGAAGCATGAAGGAGAGGATGGAGACGAAGTAATCCTCAACATTAAGCCGATGCAGCCGCTCGTCCGAGCGTCTCACTATGGCTACATGCATGGTCTGGGACTCCACCAGACCCGCACTGTCCCTCCCTCCCTACACGTCTCCAGGCTAGGTGAGACTACCACCAAGAACACGTTGCAGTTATCAGAGGTTTACTTACTGCTTAAAAAAATCACTTGTAAACTATACAAAAGGAACACCATCTTGAAGAAAGTCACATTACCTTTGAATTGAACGATTCACAACTAACCCATAAATCTGGAATATCTGGGACAACAAATTTCGTCCTGTTTTTATTTCAGTTTGTGTTAGCGATGAAACACTTCGTAAAATATTAATTATAATTTGACTTTTAACTCGAGGCAGTTTTTTTTTTTTTTTCAAAAATTTTATTTACCTTGTATTGCTCTAATGTAAGTTTTTAAAAATACTTGTGTGCAATGTGTGTTGTTAACATTTTTTGTATGCCACAGCCCTACAGGACAATGCCAACACAGTGCCTCAGAAAGGGATGCGACTCGGCCCTCATCTAAAACGGCCTCCAGGTCCTCACCAGGTCATTGACATGGATTACAGTGACCTAGAAAGTGTCGAACTCACGAACGGTAAGCTTCTTAAAGCTTTCTTTGTCAGAGCTGGGGTCATTTATCACCAGTCTTCACTCTGAATTCACTTTAAATTATTTTCAATGTACCTCGTCCGTTAGTTTTATTTAAGTCAGTTTTCTGTCTTCATTATCTGCCCACTGATTTTTGTACATATTGTTATTTCTCTCGTTTTCATTTAAGCGGAATTATTTGCTTCTGTTGTCACATCACTTTCCATGTTGCGCATGTGTTAAGAATCGAGTGAATAGTTGGGTAGACTTGCAATCAGCTGATGCGTCGTCCCATCATTAGTCTTTAGTATTTCACGCAAATAACATTAAAAGCTGATATGGGGATGAACTTAGGTCTGGAGTGCTTTAGCTCCTGGCGAGACTTTGGGTAGTGCTCTATGTTCTTAATCGGCTTTTAGTCAGTTAGGCTAATCCCTTAAATGTATTCAGGCTGCGGTGATACATTGCCTGAGAAATGTGGATGATTCCCAAGGACACTAATTTTATTTTGCTAAATAAAATTAAGGTTTAAGTATTTTAAGTGTTGTTAAGCAACTTTATGCGGTATAAAGCTCAGAACTGTTTACCATATTGAGCTTCATATTTTGTTAGGCTCTGATTGGCTGTGTTGGGCATTGTTACTGATTTCTGATCACAGCTTGCAAGACGAGGCTAGTATGTATGAACTTTAAGGTTAGCCTTTTTCACTTGTTTTTACAGTATCATACTTTGGAAAATGTTAGATATAAAACTGGATTGCTATATACGTTAATGTATATCAAGTCCAAGATTTAGATTTTACCGACGAAGAGGCTGGTTTGTGCACCCCGTGTCCACCCTGTGGATGGTAACACAAAAGCTTGTGCGTACACAAAAATGGCTAGAACCCATGGCAAGCCAAACTTAAAACAACAGTACATCTTTGGGTATTTACATATCAGCGTTTGTTTATTACAATTACATTTATGATACTTGCTTAAAATTCATGGCTTCTTATCGACCAATCCTAGTGAAATACTTATACTATGACCGTTACTACTAATCATACAATTAATGTCCAAATTTGGAGTGCATAAAAATATGTAGATGCTTTGGAATTTTGTCTTGTATTATACAAACATTCCCCTCAAGGAAGGTTCCTTGATGCTGATGAGGAGCTCTTGATCTAGGGAACTGGATCTGTGCTCCAGTTCCCTGAATTAAGCCTGAATACCTTCCATTCTCCCCACAGGTGCTGTATAATCCTACGGGTTTAGCGCTTCCCCGTTGGTTATAATAATAATATACAAACATTACAGTAATTAGCTATGATTTTTTTACCAGTACATTGTTTTATACTGATTTTTTTTACATGTAACTGAAAATTAACCCGTCTTCTCACAACTAGGTAAATGAATATTAAGACACGTGTGTAAGAATTGGGTATCGTTACTATGAAACGTTTCGCCTACACAATAGGCTTCTTCAGTGAGATACGGAGGCAGCGGGTGTAGTGAAATAAAGATGTAATCAATCTATCAACCTCGGAGAAAAAGTATTTAAGGTCTGTTTTAGCTAGACCTTAGCATAATACAGACTCTAATAACACATTAGAGCGAAAAAGTAATGTGAAGGACCTGAGAGTGGTAATATCTGAGGATCTCACCTTCAAGGGTCATAGTGTCATTCTCACATCTGCGAGGAAAATGATAGGATGGTTAATGAGAATATTAAAGACAGGAGATGCCAAGCCAATGATCCTTTTTAAATCAATTGTTCTCACTAGTCTGGAATACTGCTGTACATTAACACCTCCATTCAAGGCAGGTGAAATCGTAGATCTATAGAATGTACAGAGAATCTTTACTGCACATATCAGTTCCATCAAACGCCTTAACTATTGGAAACGCTTGGAAGCCCTTGACTTGTACTCACTGGAGCGCTGGCGAGAGAGATGCATCATAATCTACACCTGGAAAATCCTAGAGGGATTGATCCCTAATCTGCACACACAAATCACTCCGTAAGGAAAGCAAAAGACTGACAGGCGATGCAACATACGCCCAGTGAAAAGTAGGGGCACCACTAGTACACTAGAGAAAATACTATAAGTGTCCGGGGCCCAAAACTGTTCAACAGCCTCCTACCAGTCATAAGGGGAATTACCAATTGACCCCTGGTTGCCTTCAAGAGGGAACTGGACAGATACCTGAAGTCAGTGCCGGATCAGCCGGGCTGTGGTTCGTACGTTGGACTACGTTTGGCCAGCAGTAACAGCCTAATTGATCAGGCCCTGATCCACCGGGAGGCCTGGTCGTGGATCGGGCCGCGGGGGCGTTGGTGCCCGGAATACCCTCCAGGTAGTCAGAGCGATATGATATCGTTCCAAACTATGGAGCTTTATTCTTCTCCAGGCTGAGGGACTGACCACCTGAAATACTTTTTCTCCAAGGTTGATAGATTGATCACATCTTTATTTCACTACTACACCTGCTCCCTCTGTATTTGACATTTGACCGGAGAGGCCTACTGTATAGGCGAAACATTTCATCAGTCAAGATAAAAAAAAAACTGCTGCACTTGTTTTAATCTTCAACTTGTGGGTATTTTACACCATTTTTAAACACGAGACGAATAGATACGAGATTTTAAGTTTTTATAGTAATTAGACTTTAATATTGTTCCCATGCAATGTTTTAATGATCTAAATATTGGTGTTTTTTTTTTTCCTTGGCTGGTGCGTGGTAGGCTACATGTCAGACGGGGATGTGTTACGTAACGTTGGTTACAAGTCCGGCAACTCGTCTGACCTAGACGGCTACCTGAGTGAGGGCGGTGCCTCCCTCTACGCCCACCGCCTCAACCAACGCTTCAAGGAGGGCATGAGGCAGGTGCACGAGAGCATGAATAAGGTGCAGCACTTCATTCAGGACGACAGGTAAGTTGACCTCGTGTGCATGAAGTTTTTTTTTTTTCTGTATGGGTACGTTTGCTTCCAGGATCAGTTTATCCAGTGAAGCAACACGTTGACGTGAAGACGACACAACGGAATGCAATAAACGGCAACTTTTGAAACATTAAAATGAAATTTAGAGGAACAACTTTGAAAAGCTTCATTAATATATGGAAATTAGCAAATCATTTTTATGAACTGTTGCACAGTGAAGTAATAACTGTGCTGTCGTGGCTTCCATAGTGACTGGTATGTTATTCGAGTAAATATACTCTCGAAATAAACACTAGTTTTATGTAAACATGACACATGAGGGCTTAAAAGAGAGAATTGAGGACCCAGGTGAAAATAAATCACGCTTTGTTGGGTAATTTTAGATTAAATCAACAGTTTTTTTACACCAATTTTTACAGGCTAAGAGCTGCAACATAGTTTTCTTTTTATACGTCAGTTTTACAGGCTGAGCTGTTACCCTACTTCAAGTCATTCTAAATCCCAACCCTATCTAAGGTACACTATCACCCCTAGGGATGCTACTAACAACAGTTGACTACCACCCAAGTACCTGCTTACTGCTAGATGAACAGGGGCAACAGGTGTGAGGGAACATGACCAACGTTTCCACCCGTGCAGGGTTTACCATCAGTGCCCCTCAAGGGAGGTGCCTAAATGTCGGTGAAGGCTTTTGATCCAAGGGAGTGAACCATTTCTTCCATTGGATTGAACCTGATTACCTCCCATTTCCCTATCGTTAGTACCTCTGCAGGTAAATAACTTCCACCAATTATAATTAACTACTAATGTGGGCCTATAAATGTGTTTATTTATAATACTTTTATAAAATCATACGTAGGCTTTCTGAATAAGACGTATTCAAAAAGGACAAGAAACGTGTCCTCGCAGGAATAGTTTAGTTAGCAGTTGTTTGATACACATTTTCTGTAGTGTTAATGTGGCACAGAAAACGGACACTCGCTATTGATTTGGGTGTGGGCCGGTACAGCCTCGTGACTCATGCCTTCACACTATATCTGATTTCTTTTTAGCATTGCGGTCTTTTGTTTTCTTGCTCATCACTGTTTGAAATAATAAAAATAGTTTTATATGTAATACACAAGCCCGAAAATCTTATTAGCAATCACGAGACAAGATTAAAACTAGGAGCTAAGACTTCTAGTTTATAAAGATTATGTTAGACGTACCTAAAGACCAAATATGTCGACGGTATTAGTATATTTAAAGGGAAAAATGCTAAATATGACATTGATTATTTCTTGTGCCAAATAAGTAATGTTGGGCCAAACTAGGAAATTTATATATTCCTCATTATATAAAGAAAGATAATTACAGCCGCACCAGAAGATAACTAAGATAAAGGGCAGTGTGCTGCCGCATGGTGCAACCCCCTTCACCTTTTATTTGGCAGCCTTTGTGTGCGTTCTATTTCCTTGGATCAAGCTCGGTTGCCTCCCATTCTTCAGTGGCTATATTCCATAGGGGGTTTGCGCTTTGCCTTGAATATAATAATTGATAACTGGGAACATTCTTTTCCCTCATTCTTACCATGCATAGTTATGATGGTAAGTTAATCAATTGATAACTGGGAACATTCTTTTCCCTCATTCTTACCATGCATAGTTATGATGGTAAGTTAATCAAGGTCGGGCTGGAAGGTGTTGCACAGTTGCCATGCAACAACACTGGCAACTGTCACCTTGGTGCTGGGCTCTTTCTTAGCAACCCCGCCTAAGAATGCAACGTCTGTTTTCTAACGCTTTTACAGTACATGGGGTCATTCGGAACGTTTTACCCTTCATGAGATGTATGCCTTGATGCCGGTTAAGGGCGTTTTATCTAAGGCACTATACGATCCCTACGAGTTTAGCTCTTCGCCGTGAATATAATAGGAACATTGTAACAAATAATTTTGTTAGATTGCTTTAACGCATATTAATTTGAATTTGTTTATAGTTGACCGGCAGGAGTGAAATTAGACGGAAGGGTAACGTCAGACATCGAGAGACATGTCGTTGCAAACTATGTGCTCGTTACTTGACCATTGTGGTGTCATCAAGTTTGTCAGCGTGAAAATATGCACCAGTATTTTACAGTATGGCCCCTGTCCACTAATAATATATATATATATATATATATATATATATATATATATATATATATATATATATATATATATATATATTAGCACAAAATCCCTGCAAGAATGCCAGACACATTGATTGCCGTTACTGCCAATACTGAGTCACAATGTTCACATTTTCATGCCACTGAAGTTTCTCTCAAACTGCTAGCATTTGAAGTTGTTTGCTTTCTGCAATAAGATGTACTGCAGAGCTTCCTGTAAAATATTTGTGTAAAATGTAACAAAAAAAAAAATAGATGCTTTGTCCCTTGGAACCATTAGTTTGTATATTCCTAGTCTGTAATGAGTGTTTTTTTTTTCATATTCACATATTTTAAGTGGTTAATTGCATGCTTGTTGATACAACTTGAGCACTATCATTGTGTAGCCTGCATACTACTATACTGTTTGCCTTACTCTTTTCTTCTTGTATTATACTTTCCAATCTTCCCATTTTCTGTGGTAAAAAACAGAAGCAATGGAACAGAAAACGAGACGGAGGTTTCCTCACTCTCTCCTTCCACCACTTCGTCAGAGCCTAGACACTTTGACGAAGACGACTATTTAGACGAAGATGTGAAAGACAAAGATGGAGATGAAGAGGAGGAGGAGGATATATTTAGCGATGAGAGAATACTCCCGGTGACTCCAACAGAGCCGAAAAGCAGAAGGCGGTGAGTGTTGGAGGCAGCATGTGGGTAGACCCTCCCTCATCCTGTGTGTGTGTTTGCTCCAACCTCTGGTGTGTGTTCACCTCGACTAAGAAAAACTCCAGTTACCTTTACTACCCGGTGTGCCGTGAATTAGGCTTTAAATTTGCATATATAGACCCTTGCTTTGTGCTCCGATAGAACACCTTAGTGTAGTTTTTCCTGAATGGAAAAAATAGGACGCTTTAAATGTTGTTCCTTGGCTGTAAAGGACTCTTTAGGACACCTTTTAACTTTGAATTTTTCATTGTTGCACTGACGCTTCTTAAAATGCATTTGTCTTGTTGTAGTGAACATAATTTATTACCATTTATTTTCCTGCGTAGCCTATAATAATATGCTACATTCAGCCTAGCATCAGATTGGTTTGCGCATGACTTGATAGTTGGGTGCGTTTTTTTATGGTTACAGGTTAACATGCATTTTACCTTCTTTAAACATGACATACCTGAAGGATGTTTCCGGGGGTTAACACTCCTGCAGCCCGGTTCCAGACTAGTCCTAATGGATCAACGTCTGGTCAACTAAACTGTTACTATTGGTCACAAGCACTTCAACGTATGAACCACGGCTGGGCTGGTCTGGAACTGATTTGAGAAACTTTTCCAGTTTCTTCTTGAAGACAGCCAGAGGTTTGTTGGTAATTCCCCGTATGCACTGAGAAGGGCGTTGAAAAGTCGGGTACCTCCGACACCCGGCGAATTCTGCTAGTGTACTCCCTGTGTCCCGGCTTTTTATTGAACGTATTTTGATTTTTTCCGCAATAAGTGAAGGAAAAGTTGTGCTTGTAAAGTTTTCTCTGAATATATTTGTTGTACAAATGGAAAACAGGAATAAATAATGGGGCTATAAACAGCGTGTTGAAAAGTCTAACCAAGACAGGACACTCAGCAAATGGAATTAAGTAGGACAAATTTAGATTTAGAAAGGAAATATGGAAGCATTGGTTGGACAGTAGAATTGTAGGTAAATGGAACAAGGTTCCAGGTAGCCTCAATGAAGGCAAGCACTTTGTTTGGTTTAAATATGGGTTTGATGGGTACACGAGTGGATGTGAGTTGGACTTGCTTAGCTTAGGGCTTACTAATGTGTTACTTCATTCTTGTATTTGTGTAGTGAGGCGGATAATGGTTGGTAATACTGTTGATGGGCAAAGTAATTGCTGCCTACTTTAGTCTTCATCCTTGTACAGAGTGCAGTACTGAGTATCTTGGTTGGTGTGGTAATCGCGATGGGGCGTTTTCGCACACATTAAAGTTTGGTGATTTCTACCCGAGCTGAACAACTACAAAAATTACATATTTCTTATACTGTACGTTAATTTAAGATCCCCTAAGAATATTTACGTTTCATAGATATTAATAGGAAAATAATGCAGCTTGGTCACGGACCGGGCCACGGGGGCGTTGACCCCCGAAATCCCCTTCAGGTATACATCAAGTAGCGCTGAACATACCTAGTTTCTCAAAGCGTTCTTGTCTGCACACATGATGTTTACGTTAATGGCCGCCGTATCTTGGTATGCTGTTGGAAATGCTTTTAAGTTAAGTGGAGGTATTTGTCATTTACCTGTTTATGCAGGTCGTTTTTGCTGACGAAGAGCTATTATATATTTGTGTCCTGTGCTGATGATCGCTTTGTATTACAAGTCAGCCCCAGTAAGAGGGTTGGCAGTTAGGAGTGTAAGGGGGCGTCAACTTATCATTTCTCAGCACTGGGAGCAAGAGAAAGCCACAGGGAAAATTATTATTCTTGCGAGAAAGAAATAGTTAAAAGTTTTCTCGTTATACCACGATTGCGACGAAACGATCCGAGAAATATATATTGGAATCTAAATTCCAGGAAACAGATAGTGGAGACATTTGCAGTAGTCATAGCTGAAAGTGTATTCTTCAATATTATTTTCATTTTCACTCGTGAGATCATGTTAGAGAGTCTGTGATGTGATTTTGGTGACCAGTCGAGACTTAGTAAGCAGGTGGGAGGGGATTTTAGCTAATGGGTTTTTCAGGTGTGTCATTCACTGCTTTTTTTTTGTAGCCTCGTGTGTGCCAGACGTGTGCTAGACAACGTAATTGGAGATTCCCCGTATCTCACCTACACTTTCTTGTTTTCCAAGTGGGTTTTGCAGGTCGACTTATTAGTAATTAGTTTTTTATTTCGTCATAGATTTCTGTGTTTTATTATATATATTAAAAATATATTTCGGTTTAGTCTTATAAAAGGATTAGTCTCTTGTATCAGCGTGTACAGTTTCACAAAGTCAAAAATAGGGAACGATATTGTCTCCTCTGGAAGCTAGTAGTGTAGAGGTGTAAAAAATTAATCAGAAAGCGATGATACATAATCGAGCATGACACCTCATTAGGTATGTGACACGTCACCAGGTATGTGACGTCACTAGACGTATGAAACGTCAATCATGGTACAAATCACCAAACACGTGACACATCAGAGAAAAACAAACCCACACTGACTCATCTTGTACTCTCTCAGTTCCCCAGTTTCCCCACCATGGGTATTGATTGGCTGTTGCGTAAATGTCTCCAGCGTAAGGTTCCACCACAGGAAACTACGACGTGGCTCAAGTGTCATGGGATTAAGTAGGATCGTAGCGTGTAGAGTAGGTGAGTACAGATGTACTCGCCTTATTTGTATTTGTCTATTTGTATTTGCATGGGTTGAACCACAGCTCTTGGTCCTGCGTTTTAATTATGGTATAGTATAATTCATGAAACTCCCTTTTCAACTACTATCGATTCCTGATTTCCAGGGCCCATTTAACCCATTTATACCAATTCTTGGAAGTGACTAGTTTGCTTTCAACTCTTTGTGTAGCGAACATGTATGTGAAAACGAACTAAAAATACTGAAAAAAAGTATATCCCAACGTCCTTGTGGCTCATCTACATTTTTTTCGCTATCTCTTGGCTCCTCAAATCTTGCACATTATCCGTCTCTTCAGAGTATTTTGTGATCATGGCTCCTCCGGCTTTTCCGTTTTTCATTGTAAGGTAGAGTGGCGTGTACAGTCTCTATACCGTAGTTGTTAGTATGACTAATGGATTGGCTAAGCAGTGTGGATAGTTTCGTGGCTAAGCAGTGTGGCTAGTGGCGTGGCTAAGCAGTATTACGTGGGTTTACATTGCTGTACATACTCCGTCACGTGTGGGGTTTCGTGTACGTACGTTGCTTTAAAAGAGGCTCATTTCCCCCCAAAGTGTAGGTGTAAGAATAATAATGAAGCTACGGAGGTGAGGCGGAGTACGTGCGGCGGGAGGGATGTGGGCGGTGGCAGCAACAGACTGATTGACCCACGAAATCGTAGCAACACGATTACAAACAAATCACGGAACGGGTGGAGCTTAAACCCATGATAAGCAGGTCTGGTGTATAGAAATGTACCTAGTTGGATGAATTAGTCATCTGGCCGAGTGGCTAACGCACTGGCCTGTAAGCTTTAGAACAGACTGGATGACCAGTCAGTCAGTAATGAAGGTTGGCCACAGGCCGGACTTCGAGACAGAACTCTTCTGAAAAAAAGTCCGGGTATTAATTCAGTATAATTCATAGGGTTGGTAATGCTGGGGAAGGAAGAGGGAGCGGCACTACATCAAATGTTGAAACAGAATAATTGTTTATAGACGTGGGGGAAAAAGTTTAGTGGCCCATTCAATTTGGATTTTTTAAGAGTAGAAATATTTGTTCTTAAAAAGTTGGTGAGTGAGACGAGTGTGCAACACCTGGCTGTCTTTAGTAAGAAGTTTCGACACCCAGCCTCGTTGTCGAGGCCAGATGACTAAGGGACTGGGGGACCGATTACCTTAACTTCCACTATTACTGGTAAGTAATTTCTACAGTGAATTGAAAAAACCACTGGTTGGCGATGCGTCCTCATGATGATACCCAGGTGGTCTTCGTGATAGATACCCAGGTGCTGTACATGTCTTACACATCAAGTTATCATCATTGTGCAAAATTAATGTAATATTATTTTTAGAAAGTGCGTGGGGCGTTTCAGGGCGAAAATATTTATATTTTGTCAGTTCCTGAGTGAGATAATGAGCTGAAAGTTTTAACTTCACTATGAAATTGAAGGAATTGGTGAGAGGTGGGTAAGGTAGGTGGGTGGTGGCTGCAATGAGACGTTGTGGGGGAGCATACAAGTGATGTGGCAGTGTTCAACATGGGTGGGAGGTGGGGAGGAAGATAGAGAAATTTATTAGGGTGGGGGAGAGAGAGAGAGGAGAGAGAGAGAGAGAGAGAGAGAGAGAAAAGAAGGAAGGAAGAGAGGGGGGGAGGTGTACTCGCCTATGTTTATAGGGGTCGAGTCTCAGTTCCTGGCCCTGCCTCTTCGCTGGCTGCTACTGGGTTCACTTTCCATGACTTCGAGAGCCTTATTGTATCGCTTCTTAATTAAAGCTGTATATGAGACCTGCTTTTATCACTCCACTGTCCAGGTCGTTACACTTCTGACCACTGTAAGGCTGTGTTCACACTTATTTGTGGTTATGGGGGTCGAAAATGTGTGTGCGTGTGTGTGTGTGTGTGTGTTTCAGTTATTCAACCAGCTACCCGCAGATATCAGAAATCTTAGAGGAAACTGGCTCTGGCACTCTTGTTCTCTCTCTCTCTCTCTCTCTCTCTCTCTCTCTCTCTCTCGCATTCACACTAAGCCTAAAGGCCAAAACCTGAACCCAACATTCGCTTTTTTTGTTCTCTGTCGATAGTAGTTTGAAAAATATATTCAACAAATGCAGGACAAACGGCACTGGTGATTCTCCATCTCGCACCCCTTACCCTAAATCGCCACCCATAATGAACATCATTTTCTCTCTCCCCTTCTTTCCCCATGCCTTCCCACCCGCTACTCATAAACAGCCTAATCCCCGTTGAGGGAAGAGGGGTGTAAATAATCTTTGTCTATATCCTAATATAAGAATATACTGTAAACGACACAAAAATAATGGGATTTCTTGAGGTCTACTGACCCGTGTGAGGCAGCACATACACGTCTCAAACAGTATTACTTCTGATGTTTTTCCGTCCTGTGTGTGTATACATAGAGAGGTATATTTCACTGTGCGGATAAGCCGAGAATTTACTTCGATCCCAGTTTTAGGGATTAAGGTATTCTTGTCTGATGGTGAAAAGGTTACGTGCAGTCTTAAGAATATTAGTGCAGTCGATAGGCTTTAAACCATATTAATTTATTTTCATCCTATATTGTAAGTCT